ACATTTTTCTATCTTTTATGTTCATACCAACAAGACGGTCAACAAGTTTAAAAGTATCTTTCAAAGTAAACTTACATAATTCATTGCGTACTGGACTTAAAATATCACCTAACCATTTTGCTAATCTATGTGTAGGAGAGTTACACATTGAAAGAATTGGATGTAATGGATTATCAACCTTATGAATTTTGGGTAATCCATAGAGGTTTGGGAAGTCAGATCCCATGGGTTTCAAGGAACTAAACTCCTGTTTATCGATAACGTCCATGCCACGAAGTTTTACTAAATGAGAAGTTACTTTTCCTTCCAATTTTCTGAAATTATCCGAAGGAAAATCGGCTTTGAATTTGCTCTTGTCATTAAGGATGGATAACATTTTTGTTTTGTAATCGCTTCTGTCCATTACAACTACACCAGATCCTTTGTCAGGTTTCAAAATAACTAAATCGGATCTGTTACGTAATTCCTTTAGGGCTTTAAAATGAGTTGATGTTGAAATGTTTCTTTGTTTCCGACTTGAATTACGGAATTGGTGTGCTACATCTACAAATTTAACTTTCAACCAACTTTGTTCATCTGTCGAGGAAGGAGTTAGAGAACTCAAATGATCATAAAAATTTTCAAACTGCGAATCAATTGCTAAGTCCGAAATATTATTAATTTAATGGGATAGAAAAATTGAAACCAAGTGATAGTACCTCCTTTTCATGTAATAAAAGTTCAACCGATGACAGATTTGTCACATACTTATCAGGATTTAATGGGAATTGGTTTGATTGAAAGTCAGAGGTACAAGATCCAAGCAATTTCAATCTAGTATTCTCTTTCGTCTTATTAACGGTTAAAATCACTGCAAACCTCAAGAGTGCACAAGCGATTATATCACATCCCACACAATTTACCAATTTTCGTGTGTGTGTGGACATACATACATACATAGTGAGGAGTAATCACGCGTTTCACGTGAAGGTGGGAGAGCATATCCCAAAATGGTTAGAAAAACAGATGAATTGTGACAAGCCAATAGATGTAGGTGTCAGAGTACCAACTTCGTCTATACCTAAACACCTAATTGAGATAAACCATAAGGTTGATGTTAACTCAACCTTGAAGGTCATCTATAAAACCGGTCAAATACGTTTACTGAAATACGCTGAGGCTATAGCCATTCATAAACGTAAGCCCCCCCTCTTGTGTATTCAAAAACAGTTTATTGTTATTACTCTTAACCCATCTACCTTGGTAATCCTTATTTGATTGGATTACCAAACGTTTGTGTTAAATATTCTGAACTCTTTTATTTGTCACTTTATTTACCTTTTCCATATATATCGACTTGACAAGTGGATGTGTGAGGGATCAGATTGTTCGAAATGTGTAGCGCAAATACATCATATCGTTTTTCAGATAATCTCCGTCTTCTAATAATGCTATCAAAATATTAATATAAGTGTTATCAATCAAATGCAATCAGATGGGAAATAAGACGAGTGTTTTATGGTCAAAATAGGTAACTTGTTGGAAAGTTATAATGTATATGAATTGAAATAGAATTTTCAGATAATTTATTATCCTCCTCTGATTTGACTGACTGGTGGTAAAAATATCTTCCATATCTCTGGTATTTGCGTTGAATCTTTTCTGTTGCATGTGTTGGGTGTAGACTCGATGAACTAGGATTCAGTAATCCAACCCTCTTTATTATAATAAAGGTTTTTGGACTTCCCAATGAATGAAAAACCAAACGATATTGAAAGTCAAAATAACAATGAAGGTCACTAAACCAAATAACAAGGGTAGTGGTACACCTGTTATGATATCAAAATAAAGTATACTAACTTGTTCATCGTCGTCAGTCTGGAGTCAGTTTTGCGTTGTCAAGTTGGTCAATTGGTAAAGATAACAAGACCAAGTGCAGATTGTTGGATTTGATAAGTGTGCAAAACTAAACAAAAACAGCGTGTGTTTACATAATGATATTGCTTATCACATTCATGTTGATTTTGTCACTTCATAGGGGAGAGAAGTAATGTAACCAGGTCAGATTGTGTTTTAATCCATCATTCCTTTTTAGACTATTTGGATTCCACTTGATCTGAAGTGCTTCTGATGATATTAGACGTTCTTTGTGATTTCTGAAGTCTTTCTGGATGATGATTTCAATATTGTCAAAATCAATTTTGTGGCTTGATTCTATAGCGTGGCTGATGATTTTTCAAGCTTTTCCAGTTCAACCGGATTTCTCGGTTGTCGAACAGATGCTCTACGGTGTTTACTCCTTCTGACTTTGATTTCTCGAGATGTTTATCCAATGTATATTGCATCACAGATTCCAAGCATTTCATCTTATAGACACAATTAGATAGAGAATCTTTAGGGATCTGGTCTTATTGAGCATATACTCAACACTGGCCATTCGATTTGCAAGGAGAAGTCGTTCAAAGTCATCTATAAAGTCAAAGGAAGCCTTCCAAAATCGACAAGCTTCCGTATACTTTGTATTGCTGAAGCCTTAGCGATTTGGATGGAAAAGCCTGAGTTATGCACACAGAAGAAACTTCTCCACCCCCTCCTACTACCGTGGGTTTAATTCCAAGCTTTATTTGTCATCAACATTTTGTTACCAATTTTTTGCAATTTTCGTATAACAATTTTCGTAACTAACCCATTCAATCTTTTCACCTATTATCTAGTTTATTTTCATAATTGTTTGCACTAGCATCTAATCTTTCTAAACATGTCCATATTACGTAACCCTACTCACATCTTACCAATCTTCACCCCACTTAGTTACAACTTTGAGTATTAATCACACATTTTAACTTCTTCATTATTTTGATGACGTAACTCTACTCACATCTTACCAATCTTCACCCCACTTAGTTACAACTTTGAGTATTAATCACACATTTTAACTTCTTCATTATCTTGATGATATAATCAACAACCCACACTAACTGTTATTTTGATTTTGACAAACCTAATGCACACACACACACAAAATAATTGTATATATATTTGCGACTGTACAGCTAAGTGAATGAATTCGCCGAAAAGAGACTCTTCGCTGAACTAATTTGTTCTTATTTCTTTTAAGTTCATCATATACCCAATGCCCAAATTTTTTCAAACTGTTAAAAGTGAACTTGGTTTGGACATATGTAACCCTCCTCTATCTCTACCTGTCTATGTTACTTTTTAGAATCTTGACTCTGCTCCACCCACACTGTTGTGTAATTGTGTGTTAATACATGCAGTGCGATTGCTGAGTTTTTCTCCAAATGACTTATCTTCGTGGCATCAATCATTCCAACCTTAGCTAAATTCTTATGTTCTGATAATATCACTACTCCTGATCTACTTGTTTGACGTGTGTAGTTGAATTAACTCACAGTCACTGCAAGGTATTTTGTAAATTATATTATTTTGTGTAATTGCGTCAACTTACAGGGTCGTTTGGCCTACAGAGCGTTTTCTACCTGAGTGATTTTGTAGGTTTGAATACCACCCTATTTGTTGAGAATCCTACGTAGGGAGGGTCTCAGATATCTTATATTCTTACTTATTTTATTTTAAAGGTGGATATGGGAAAACATTCCAACTTGGTTGTATAAAATAAGCGCAGTAGTTGCTAAGAAGTCCTATTCTACAATATTTGATAGATTTCTATGGGTCATCTGTCGTATTTTCTTTGCATGTAACATCTAAAATCGGCCGAGACCATGGCTATTTATGAATAGGACCTGGATCTTCGAGTAGAAAACACCTACTGACAGTTATCCTCTTTAATATGGCCTCTGTTACTACAATTGTCATTATTGCACTTGTTTACTATCCTAATTTACAATCTTCATCTTTTCAAACTTCCAATGTTGTTACATAATGTTATGTTTATATACAGACCTCAATAGTTCAACACCCTCCTCCAAAATACGTAGATTTCATGAAACGTTTTGTTATCTGACGAATTTTACGACGATTAATAATAATAAAACTATTTAGGCATAATTAACATTATCATTTTGATTATTATTATTCCCTTGTCTTCCAAGTGGAACATAGGGCTGGCTTCAGCAACACATCTCCACTTTGCTCTGTTTTCTGCCGTCCTCTTCAGCTGGGTTCACGATTGACCAAACTCTCTTATCTCTTCCTCACACGATCTCCTCCATGTCACCCTAAGACGACCCACTCGCCACTTCCTCTTTGGATTCCACTGGAGTAATGACATGGCGTGCGATGTCATTCATTGGCCTCCTCAATGTATCCCTGACCCATCTCCACTTTCTGCTACATATTTTCGAGCGATCGGATCTCGCCTGTTGGTTTGTTCCAGTGGTTTCTTGTTGCTTATTTTTTATGGCTATTTGATATTCAGTACGCAGCCAGCGAAGGCAGCTGTTGATGAAAGTCTACAGTAGCCTGTTGGAAATCCTTCTCGTGACACGCTGGCCAACAACAGCTGCCAACTTCATAGGCTCCATTCTGAAGACCGAATGGCCGGCCGGCCTACAGGCTAGCCAGAAAGAATTAGCAACAAGGAACTGTGGCTGACTGGGATCAAATCAACAGGTGACAGCCGATCGCTCAACGAATATGTCGGAGAAAATAGAGATAGATAGATCGGGCATACGCCACTGAGGAGGCCATCGAATGACATCGCGCGCAATGCAGGCCACCGTTCAATGAGAACCACAATGTGAAGCGACTAGTGCTTCGTCAGTGCGAAGGTTACATGTAGAAGATCGCGTTAGGCGGAGTAGGCGATGAGACATTATCAACAGTGTTGTAGCCATCCAAATGAAGACGACAGTAGAAGACAGAAGAAATTAGAGATGTGTTGTTGAAGCCCTAAGTTCCACTCTGAACTCAAGAGAGTAAAAATAATAAAAAATAATAATATAATAATATAATGTATTTATCAGCTCTGTTAATGATTTAACACAAAATATAACCGATGGATAGAATCTCCTGATGAAGATGTTAACAGTCACTTCCATTTATGGATAACAGAATCCAGGTCCAGTTACTACTTGAGCAGGCCATCCCCATCTGCAGATGGAAAAGCAATAAACATGAAAATGTGAAAATGGTTACTGATGAAGACAATTTTCATTTTGATCATAGGGTAAATTAGTTTAATTCTTGATCGCCTAAAGAGTACTACTGTAGCGTCAGACTTCTACAAGTGGTATTGTCTGAGTCAGTGATCCGTTCAGCATCAAAAATATTTTCTTCTTCATTGAATATGAGCAAGGTAAGAACACGGTACTTGTAAATACTACACAATATCTATCGAGAGGAGAATCCAAAATTAATGGACATTGCTCAGGCTATACACAGAATGTTCAAGTCTAAACGAAAAACAAATGCATAAGTACAATGGCGAAAGAGTTACGTAATAAAGGCAGGAAGTGGATAAGAGGATGAGTAACTAATAAGCTGAGTAACAATGTGTTGAATTCAACTGTAGTCACAAAAATCGGAGACAAGCAAAACTACATTATAGTGAAGACGAAGAGGTTAAGGCCAAAAATGAATTAATCAAATAAAAGAAGAGAGCAACAAATGACTGACAGTTACTCCCTTCTGAGCACGTGAATTAGTTTTCAGGAGTTTGATAGCAACTGCTTCGCAAAACTTAAGAAGGATTTAACTAGATTATCTTGCCAATGAGATGCCAGGCAGTGGCACTATTGAAAACCTTTGTCACCTTGGGATGGAGAATTTTCGGTTTATGACCAGAATAATAAAAATGGGCCCTTCCTTCTGTTCTCTCAATGCCAAAAATACATGTAAATTTGTATACATAATTGGTGCTAACATGAGACCTCTATCTGTCGATTATCAGCTGCACTAAAGAGCATGTTGCGCAATAAACGATTACAAACCTAGCTGTAGGATAGATTCTGGTTGGCGAGTTACTCAATCTGCTTTAGGCTATGCGCAGATGATGAGAAGCTGACAACATGAATGGTAGTGTCATCTCATTCTGCATAAACCGCCTTATTCAGACCCATTTCGCACTTTCTCTTTCAACTTCAAAAGATAGTTTGTCATAAAAATCGTCACCAACTGGAGATACTCAGACGGGTCCTCGTGGAGAATGCATATCCTTCAAGATTCATCCAGAAAAACACGAAAGTAAGGCAAAAAAATCTGAAAGAACCCAGACTGTGCCGAAGCAACTGATATTTATGAACGTGGATTTAAAAGGTGATACAGTGGCTGCGATTCTCGAGAATCAATTACCGAAATCATTGAGAAAAGCCTTCTTTTCAGCTGAGCTACGGATCAGTTTCTACAGCCACTTCAGTATGTGTTTACAAATTCACCTGCTCCTGCGGAGCTAGTTATAGTCACAGCATAAAGAACACACTTTCCAAATGCATCTCTGAAAATTATCCGGCATGGTTTGCAAAAGTATAATGCAAGTCACTTACTGTCTTAATTCTCGAGCACTTGGCGAACTTAAGCTACGTAGCTCCACCAGAGTCATCTTTTAAGATTATCTACACGGTGAGGTCAAATGGTACAATGGGCGTCAGGTTTCGGCATTTTTCTATTGAGGAGGTGTTGACATTTCGTCGGTACAACCCCGAACTCTATACAGAAAACATTTGTTCAGTCTGTTATTCTACCATGGTCTTGACCTCATCACTAGTCGTTCCCTGTAAATATTTTTATTTTTTATTTTTAATGATTAGTTTGCCTTTAATTTAATAATTAATTCATTATTATCACTCTTACATGTTCCTTTTGTACATTTTCTCACCCTCTTCACATTTGTTAAATTGACACTCAATCAAATTCTTCTCACTCAATAACAAATTTAACCTTGTCACATTTCCAACGCTTTCTTACCTTGTGCCGTTGAGTATTATGTAATATGCAACTTATATTTTTGACTTTTGAAACCACACCTAGGTAATTAAATCAACTATATCGCCCCCCCTATCACTTTATAAAAAACTACTGTGCATTTTTGGTAAATATGAATGCGCTTGTACAGCCTGTGAAGATGATTTTGTCCATAAAGAAAATTTTCTCCACTGTATTGTCTTTTATTTTTTCTTTAAAACTCAATTGATATTTTTGGTGACTTCATTTCAGTGTTTTGAATGTCGAAAACTGTACAACCGTATTCTTGTCCAAATTTTCTCCCGTCTATATTGAAATCGATGCATCTCATAGAAGAATTGGTAAACAAACGACTTGATATGAGACATTCAATTCAAATTCATAGAATGACATCATATTACATGATATGAAACCCGCAGTTTATTGATATCATACTTCGTAAATTAATCTTCCAAAATTCTAGGTAACATAGCTTTACTGTTTTGTGAAAACATAAGTGGAAATACATTTCGAGTCCCATTCTCTTTGTAGGAATAAACCAAACGGTGACTGATGCCAATAACTCATTTTATGGAAGTATGTCGCATCAAAGAGTGATAATTTGTGACTTTGATCACCTCGAAAGCCTATAAGCGTCGGTGGCACAGTGGTTAGGACTCTCGCCGACCATGCACATGGTCCTAGGTTCGATCCCCTGCCGACGCACACCCGATATCTATGGTCGGCCTGTAAAATTTGGGCTACCGATATCCGTGCTGAAAATTCCATACTTGTACTGAAAATACGGTGTGGCATCAAGCCGTAACCAGAAATTGAAAAAAAATAAACAAATAAGCTGAATGCTTGAAAAACGTGTTTCCTTGTGTCGCATAAGGTAATGCAAACACAGATAAGGTGATCTAGAATTAAGTTCACAGTATTCTCTTTTCGACAACACAAAGAAATTTTCACATGTTAGTTTGCAGAGATATAACTGACTTCAAGTTCATTTAAGAACTAACTCCAGTTACAGAACTATTTGAAACCAGGAATTAGTACTTTATGGATCTCCTAAACTAATAAAGAATTGAAACCACAACCCTCGGAGAACAAGTCTTGCTAGTTGATCATTCATCCTCTAGGACAGAATTCAGTGCTCCATCAACTTCAACTATTTCCAGTTTCCCAATATAGGTTTTGACCACCACTCATTGTCATCGGTGAGTATATTTCATCTCACTCGCTGGTCACGGCTCCTCAATCCATCTCCTGGCAGCATACGCTTCTAGTTAGTCACTAGCGATCACAGGTTACAACTATTAGGCCACTGGATTCTGTGTCTGAGTCTGAATAGTCAACTAGGTCGCCTAGTAATCTGAAGGTCTTCAATTCGATGTCTGATGGGATCACAGGTGCACATTTCTGAAGAGTCGCAGAGAGGGAAGAAACAGCTGTCCATTAGTACTCTCATTACCCTCTGTTCAGCGGTTCTCTAACTGGAAGGCAGACAACTTCAAGCAAGCATTAAGTAATGATTTCACTAGTCAAATACGGCTTTAGGCTAACTGTTGGCTTTCACATTCTCTTGATAAGTGCTCGCGATGAATAGTGTGTGTAGTGTTAACAAAAGGGCTGCAAAAGTTGACATCACATGTATATATTTTTAATTTTGATTATAGCTTGAATCCACACCGTATTTTTGGCACAAGTATAGAATTTTCAGCTTATGATATCGGTAGCCCAAATTTTGGAGTCGAACCCCAGAACATGTGCATGGTCGGTAAGAGTTCAAACCGCTGTGCAACCGATGCACAGTTCTCATCAGATCTTGTGTTCTAACTTCTAAATTTGAGACTTTATCCCAGTCAGTATCAATTTACTGTTTGAAAACATTACTAAGTAGGTACTTGGTGGGTACATGATTACAGACATACAGGTAGCTTGTGTATGGAACTCGATCATCAACCCATTTATCATTCAACAATCCCACTGAATATATGAAAGTGTTCATGCAGTGATACTGTTACTACTGTAATTACAGAAGACAAGTAGTCAGGCAACAGATATTCATAGATTTTTGTGTACATTATTATTAGCGTTATGGTTAGCAGAGAAGCAACGTCTTCTGATTGGTTGTTTTCCTGCTGAAGGTTATTCTGTCATCTCTTTGGTGCCGTTTCTTAGACAGTCCGATGATATATCTACGAATCTTATCCGTCCACGCTAAATCTGCTATGATTGGTGGTAGAGTTCCTAATGTTTAGAATTCGTTCTTGTCTTTTTTCTCAAGACCAAGATTTGGGACGTAAATTTTGACGTAAATTGCTGTCTACCAATTTTGGCTAGCAGACAACCGTCACCACACTGCTACTGTTGTGTAATAATAATAATAATAACAAACCTTTATTTCAGACAATATGTGGACATATATTGTGATTAATAGTGTTCTCTGAGCTGGTTGGTTTAGTTGCAGAGCTTTCGTCGTCCCCCTGCTGGACAACATCTTCAGCGCAATATTTAGCCTAAAGTGAAATGATTTCAATTTCTTCATGAGTGATAGAATTGCGTACGTCTCCTGGTAACCATCTTTACATATGTATTGACCACTTTCTATTGACTTGGATTTTAAACTTTCTCGTCACCTGATTTACTTTTTATTAGTTGGTAAATTTCGTCTATATTAACGTGTTTGTTAATTGCATTTTCGTTTGAGTACCAGGCTTCTAAGAATTCCCTGGCACTTTTCGTGTTTCCTCTGCCTGAGATTTTGACATTATCCCAATCAAATTGATGACCATAATTGTCTATATGCATTGATACTAAAGAATATATATCGTGTCTTTTCACGGCTGATTTGTGTTCTTGGATTCTAATTCGAAGGGGACGCCCATTTTGGCCGATGTAATGCCTGTCGCAGCCCATAAAATTTATTTTGTAAATGGTAATAATTTTATCTCCTTTTTCAGTTGGATCTTTCGGTTTACATAATATCGAATTAAGCGATTTGACTGGCTTGTGTGCTATATCTACATCAACCGGTTTTAGTATTCTGGCTGTTACTTCACGGATGTTTCTCATGTATGGTAGAATGGATTTTCTTGTGGTCTTTGATGATGGTTCTTTGTTGGTGTTTTGATTCGACTTTAAACACTTTTTGATGAAATTTTGTGGATAAGCATTCTTTTTGAAGATCGTTTGTAGGTATTTTTCTTGCATTCTTTTCAACTCTGTAGTGCTACATATATTGTAGCAATTTTCAGCCTATCTGGTTCCAAAGTATTTCCTCTTCATACAGAATTTACAATGTAAAGCGATAATCTGAAGTATTTCATTTATCGTAGTGTTGTTGCATATGAAGAGAAAACCAATTCTGCACATTTTTTCTTCAATTCCTTCAAGAATCGCACGGCGTAAAGTGGGAAACTAATTATCAAATATGCACACGATATATATTGATATATTGGTCATTTGATGATAAAATTGCACGATTTAAACAATAAGAAATGCTGAAGAGTTTAAGCAGCATTTTGATGTATGGAAATTTTTGTAGCACCAGTGATTAATAAGCAGGCTGCCATTTCGAAGTAAGGACATTATAACATATCAGTAATGTTATGAATGTAATTCAAACTGTATAACTTACCTCAACATTTGACATCGAAGATCATGTAAACGTTGTGCGAATTCATCTGTTTCAGACTGTTCTTGAGACCATAGACGTTCAGCTACAGCTGCAGCTAATGGCCTACGAAATATTGTTGAAATGAAAGAAAGGTTAACGTTATATCTTCATTAATATGTAATAAGACTGACGCCTAGTCACGTATATATTCATAGCAGGATCCAGAGTATTTATAAAGCTGATAAAATAGATGACCCATAAGCTTTTTAAATACGACATCTCGTTTGAATACAGTGGCCTAGATTCTAAAACAGCCAGTCATAAAAACCTTCCGTTTACGCCGATATGGGGAAGGATGTCCACTTCAAATTCCACTATTATTATTTATTTCATTTTTAAATTTATTTAAAACATTCCTACTTCCTGATCAATTTACCATGGTAATTATTGAGTTTCAAAGCTTCTCTCATATGCCGCACTTCCTGTCTTAGACTTTCCTTGGTACTACTTAGTTTTGTACCCTATTACTTAAACATTTCACCACTGCTAATTTTGCTGTCATAGGGTGAGATTAGAAATCCAAATATCAGTTTGAATGTGCGTGCTTTGTTTTACTGTAAACACTACAGTCGAACATTGGAAGCTCTCCTTCCTAACTTTGTAATTTATAAATGAATTGAATTGCCTCCATCATCTAGTTGATGTTTTGGAAAATTCATTTATATCCTGAGTTCTAAGCACGGTGAATGTGTCACCTAATTACCTCCACCATACTTATGGGGTGGAGCTGAACGTGTCAATCGCTAAGTTTTTTCTCCTCTCCATGGATATATCTGTTACAATAGGGGGTATTGCTGACCGCATGACAACTCCCATAGTTTGTTTGTATATTTTCCCTTGGAATTTAAATACTGTGTAAATCAGGCAAAGCTGCACTCCTAGCGATATAAATTCCCTTATTCCTTATTATTTCACTGGTGTAAAACAAAACCTTTTGTTTTCTTATTCAAATTAGGTCATTAAATTACACAAATACATGACCTTCTACGACATTCTCTTTTTCAGATATTATCATTCATCCACATGAAGTTTAAATTCATTATGAATACAGTTCAATATGAATATGAGTCATGAGCAGAGGTTACTTTGATCACGTATCTGAAAATCACGGTTTCCAACACAGGTGGAACGGATGAAGATGTAAAGTGTAGCCAGAATCGGAAAAGACAAATACGCCTTCATCAAGCTGAAAACAGTTTGCCAATCTTCTGCTCTCACTCAGCCAGAGTAAAGAACAAAATTCGGATTCTGTACAGTACTAATGTAAAATCACATAGTCAGTTGTTATATACGGGTAAGCAAAGTAAACTGTGCTTGAGTCCTACAAGTCACTGCAGACCTCTATCAACAGCTGTCCCCATCGCTGGCTTCACACTGCAGATCAAATGGCCGGCCGGCTGGTCGGAAAGAATTAGCAGCAAGAAACTCTGGCTGGCTGAGAACAAACCAACAGGCGAGAGCCAATTGCTGAACAAATATGTAGGAGAAAATTGAGATAGATGGTTTGGGCATATGTTCAAGAGGCCGTCAAATGACATGGCGCGGAATATAGGCCATCACTCGACTGGAATCCCAATGGGAAGCGACTAATGAGTTGATGGTGTGGGGGTGACATGGGGGAGATTGTTTGGCGAGAAGGAGGAGATGAGAGATTTCGGGCGGTGGTTGAGCCAGCCAGCTGAAGAGGATAGCAGAAAATATAGGAAATTGAAGATGCGTTGTTGGAGCCATATGTTCTACTCGGAAGCCAAAGGAATAATAATAATTGAAAAATTAGTTATGAGCATTCATTACTACCATGTATTTCTCGTTATTCATGATCAATTTCACTTTGGAATGCAGGTGTTCAGTATGGTGTTCCAATTAAACATATTTTTTGATTGCACACTAGTCAGTAACTAGTGTAATGCGTCTAGTCCTATCTTCGGTGCAGACTGAATTCTATCAGTCATGTTTGCAATGTGGCCACCATGCTAGGTGGCTCGCCATTACGGTGCGCTGTGAATTGTTGGTATTAGATGGTTGGAGGCAATCGGCAGAAAGCCTTGGACCTAGGTTGCGTGCTAGTTGGCACTCATCAGCAAGACTAGACGCATTACACTAGTTACTGACTAGTGTGCAATCAAAAAATATCAAATACAGTCCTACAGGAGGTCAGTCGCGAGCCTGAATAGCTCAGTGGTAACGTCTCTGACTGCAGCACTGGGTAATGCGGGTTCGAATCTCAGAAGGGACATCAGTTCCTTCAAGTTTGTAGATACGCCCTGCTGATGATTGCCAACTAGCACGAAACCTAGGTCCGAGGCTTCCTGCCGATTGCCTCCAATCATCTAATACAATTAAACATATTACGACATAGATACATATTATGGACTCTAATCCATTAACAATCTATTAACAAATAACTTCTGAAATTTTGATGTCACTGATTCGATATTATTTTACAAAGCACATTAATGTTATCAATAATAACCATAATTCCTGAATTATTATGAATGCCAGTGACTGTAGAACCCAGTCAAGAAGTTATCAAAAAAAATCTATTGTTTGCTCAGCAATCTCATTATCTTGAAGCTATTAGAACGTTCATCGAGAAACATATCTCGCCTCGTTCGACCTCAGCACCTCTCAGTCTGACTGAGCAAAGGAGAACGTAGAGGTATCAGTTCACGATATTTGCAACATATTGTAGATACTAACCACGCTACACCTGACACATCGTTCAGTATATTCTATAAAGTCCGACAAAGTTTGTCGAAAGAGACACGAGCGCATTTGCTTTGCATACCAGAGGCTTTGACAATGCATAACACATAAAGTCAAAACTTTGTGTACAAAAACAGTTTGTACGGTCTCTTTAGCTACCATGGTCTTGATTTTACTATGTAATTTGCATAACAACTTTGTTATCCTTCTTTATTCCGTGTTCCATTTTTGTTTTATTTCATTTCATTTCACTTCATGATATCACATTCTAATAGTATATCTAGTCTCCTACTCTTGTGACAACATTTCAGTCATCCTATGTTGTCTCCATCATATTATATTTTCATATTCACATTTCTGAATGTACTTTGTTCTCCGATCATCCATTTCACATTTGTCTATCTGATCATCAATTGTGACGCATAATCCAGTACACCAATATTATTATAGCACTTTAGTATTTCCACTCACTGTCAAACTTCAACACACACATACAGAAGGAAACTGATTGTTATTGTCTATTGTAATTCATTTGTATAAATATACGATACCATGGATACCAGTAGCCCAAATTTTGCAGGCCGACCATAGATATCGGGTGTGCGCCGGCAGGGGATCGAATCCCGGACCATGTGCACGGTCGGTGAGAGTCCTAACCACTGTGCCCCCGACGCACCTATACGATCTCATGCTCTCAGCCAAACTGATAGGTGCTCAGCTCGAACACGGCAGGATATGTTTCTCGACAAATGTCCAATGTACCTAGCTCCACAAGAGTAGGTGAACATATAAATACACATGGAATTAGACAATCGAGGTAACCTTTCCTTGACATTAAGGTGCACCAGTGTTGACGCCTAGAGTAAATTATTCATAAAGCGACAGCAAAGAACGTTTTTCTCAATGATCTAGTCAGAAGATGCTTAATTACCTCACTCGCAATGTCACACCTAAATTCTGCGTTTGCGTGCAACACATTTTTAGCTATCTTGTCAATCTCTGTACTTCTTCCACGTAACTTTCTGTTGGCCTCTACAAAGCGTACTGGATACCCGTCCTCTGTGAAGATTTCTGTGAATTGTTTGAGTTCATCATGAAGATGGGGTCTTCACTACATATCCTGTGGACCCATACTGTGAGAGAGAGAGAGAATGGATGAGATTCCTTTTCTTTCTGTCAGGACAAAACTGGAAAAATTAGTCAGCATTCTCATCCACAGAGATTTTCGGTATTTATATGTTCACCAGCTTCTGCAGAGCTAGGTACATAGGACAGCCGTCAAGAAACAAGTCCTGCCGCGTTCATACGATCCCTTTCGTTACCATGGTGTTGATTTCACTAAGCAATTCACATGAACACCGAGTTATCCTTCTTTATTCCGCGTTCCATTTTTGTTTTATTTTATTTCATTTCAGTTTTTGTTATCATATTCTTACATTTTATCTTATCTACTATTTTGACAACGTCTCACTCATCTTATGTCATCTCCATCATATCATATTATTCACATATTCATGTTTCTGAATGTCCTTAATTTTCCGATCGTCTATTTCACACATGTCATTGACCTATATTTATAATCCAATATTATTATTATCGCACTTTAGTATTTCCACTCACTGTCAAACTTCAACACACACATACAGAAGGAAACTGACTGTTATTGTCTATTGTAATTCATATATATACATATGTATATACGATTATACAACTAGGAAGATGAAATTGTCAGAAAGAGAATTTTCTTCACTGAATTCTTTGTTTCTTTTAATTCCATTATTATTATGGATGAATATTATTGAAGAACTTGATGAAGAGGAAGTTATCGAAATGACTATTCCTCGCTCAGTACTCAGTCTTTTGAAAACCAGCTGACATCAATTAGAGGACTACTGAAAATCGAGGGAGTACTGCATAGGTGTTTATTTGTAGTTTAGATCACTTAAGGAGTACACATACACACACAAAAACCGGAATTCGAACCCAAGACCTTCCGCTCACAAGGCAATCTGTCAGACCATTAACTTACTACCACCACCACCCTATCCAACGGCCCATGTGCTCAAACTTCTACCATTTTGAGATATACATGTAGAGCAGTTACCAGCCAGTGACATAGGTGAGTAACCGTTCGCTTGAGTGACTTGATGCATCATCTTTCTGGTCACGTCGTCTAAATAGAACTCCAGGTAGCTTCTAGTATAGAGCCAGTCAGTCAGCCAGTGAGTATCTGATTGACTGTGTTCGTTTCAGTTTGCCGAGAGATTTGATTGGTCAGAGGTTTTATTACTGGCTGACATCAGTCAGAGGATGTTTTTCCCTCCTTAATTATTATATTGTTAGTGGGACAGAAAGCTCTATCCACGGAAATTTCAGTGACGCAATATTTTTTTATCAGTGTCAATATATAAGTATATATATATATACCTTAGACGAGCACACTCTCTGATAACGCATAAGAAAGAAAAAGAAGAAGAAATATCAAACATTACTGGAACTCTCAAGCAAAACAACTACCCAAGGAACTTCATCAACAAAATCAACACAGACATTAAGTATGGCCGAAAACGCATTCCGAAAACATGGACCTCGACAGTTGTCATTCCATATAGAGCAGAGACGTCAGACGATATCAGGAGAGTACTCAATCAGCTCGACATTAGAGTTTTCTTTAAAACCTCTGATACACTACGAAACAACCTTGTCCATATAAAAGACCAGATCCCTAGAGATTCTCTATCTAATTGTGTCTATAAAATAAAATGCTCGGAATGTGATGCGATATAGATTGGACGAACATCTCGAGAAATCAAAATCAGAAGAAATGAACACCGTAGAGCATCTGTTCGACCACCGAGAAAGCCAATTGAACTGGAAATACTTGAAAAATCATCAGCCATAGGTCTTCATGCTATAGAATCAGGCCACAAAATTGATTTTGACAATATTGAAATCATCATCCAGAAAGACTTCAGAAATCACAAAGAACGTCTAATATCATCAGAAGCACTTCAGATCAAGTGGAATCCAAATTATCTGAAAAGGAATGATGGACTAAAACAGAATCTGACCTGGTTACATTACCTCCCTCCCCTATGAAGTGACAAAGTCAACACGAATGTGATAAGCAATATCATTATGTGAACACACGCTGTTTTTGTATACTTTTGCACACTTATCAAATCCAACAATCTACACTTGGTCTTGTTATCTTTATCAATTGACCAACTTGACAACGAAAAATGACCCTAAACTAACGAACGATGATCAACTTAGTAAACTTTATTTTGATATCATAACAGATGTACTATTACCTTTGTTATTTGGTTTAGTGATCTTCATTATTATTAAAGACTTTCAATGTGTCCTATTAACTTGACCTAAGTCTATTTTCTCACCCCTTAACTCTTTGTTATATATATGCCGAGATTTTATAAATTCCGATTTATATTATAAAGCTATTAGCATTAAATAGCGAAATGTTAGTAAAAACAACAATATCGTTTTGTTTTTCATTCATTGGGAAATACAAGGAAACCTTTATTGTAATGAATATATAATTGTATCCTGTTGAAATTATCCACCAGTAATTCAATATAATTAGATCTAAGTGTGTATTTTAGGGACTATTATTTCCGAGAAAGATGGGTATTCACACAGTTTATACCCACCCATATAAGAAATATTTGATGATGTTGCATTATACAGACTTACCATGTTTCAGTGAAGAGATTTGCATCATCAATGTATTGACCCCATAATAGAGCTTCTCCTCCGATTATCAAGCTAAACTGTTCCTCTGTGGCTGAATAGAAATGATGTCTTCATATTAATCTGGCTATCAGTATACTGTCAAGTGAACACTTTGTAAGAAATTAAATTATAAATGAAAACTAAAAAAATACTGTGAAGTCTTGAAGTCTTCAGCCTAATTACCTTTGTGAAATTGTAAACTTCAATTCATATTAACAGAAATTCATCACTGTGGTCAAATATATTAACTGGATCTTAGCTTGATATTTACTGACGACAACGTTTCGAGCACAAAATATTGCTGCTGATAATCACATCAAGGTATTCAGATAACTTTCCAAACTTCCCATTATATAATTCCATTATTACCACTTTTGGAATTCAGTTATGTCTTAAGTCTACTGTTTTCAAATTGTAGGGCTAAATTACTCAGTCCAATTTTAGATTTTCCCGTCGATTGATTGGACCAAAGTGCTCGATCTCAGGTTGACATCTCGACTTCTTGTGCAGATGCTTCGACAATGTCTGGACACTTAATTAGAATTTAATTGGTGGATGGTGACTATCAGTGAAATGCAGGATAACGCGCATTTCTTCCTAGTTGGGACTCGTCATCCACTGGATGTACCTGCATTTCCCAGTGAGTGATGATGTTCCCACCGAGGCTCAAACCCATTGCTCATAGTTTTAAATGCCAAAGCCTTATCAACTTGACCACTTGGTTCACGAGAGCTACCTCTTGTGCAACGGGTCACATTAATTATTTAATTCAATTTTAGATTTTTCCGTCAATTGATTGAACCGAAGTACTCGGTCTCAGGTTGACGTGTCGGCTTCTTGTCCAGACTCTTCGACGCTTTTGTGTTTGAAACTATGGGCACTGGGTTAGAGCCTCAGTGGGAACATTATCACTCACTGGGGAGTGCAGGTACATCCAGATAACTGACGAGTCCCAAATAGAACGAAATGTGCATTTTGGATTCCACTGGCAGTCACCACCACCAATTAACTTCTGTAGGGCAAAATATTTAGGAAAACAGAAGGGATAGCAAGGGGAAGATCAATATCCACAAATCCTAATGGGAGTCTTTAGGGTTACTTTGAAAAATATGGCTCTCAGTACATTTAATCCTACTCCACAGACATGGTTAAGATATGTTGATGACACTTCTACTGTATTAAGAATAGAATATATCTCATTGATTTCCAAGTACTGGTTTGTAAGGATTTGACTGATTAGTTGCAGGATTACACCATGAGCTGACGTCGGTTAGAGAACCATTTGAAAACCAACTGGGTGTACTGGATAACTATTTCATCAGCCTAGTTCGGGGATCTTCATCAGTACGTACCCTCAGAGGATCAACACAGGACCTTCTGGTTTCAATGCAAGCTAGCTGTTAGACCATTCAGCCACTCATGACCAGCCCATGAATTATAACTTCTGCCAATTCAAGACATAGCGTGACCACTAGCCAATGTCATCTCTGGCAAGTATTTGTCCTCACGCCCTCCCTAATATAACCTAAGGATCACGATTTCTCACTAGAATCCCAAGTAACTATCTACATGCATAGGGCCAGTCGCTAGTGAGCATCTCACTGATATTCAAGTATTGGCTAGTAGGGCTTTGATTGATTAATTACAGGAGTTGACAACGTGGGAGTATTTTCTTCTCACATATAAAGTCGTTGTTAGTGAAAATACAACTTACATTTGAGTTAGAAAATGAACAAGGAGAAGGTAAACAATGCACTAGCCTTCATAAAGCATCAATTACATTTCTAATCCTAACGACAATGACCATCACTTAACCGTCTAGCAATATTAGTTTACTTATTCCCTGTCTTGTCAATTACACCGCTTCAAGCAATTACTTACTTACTTTGTTTTGTGGTGGTGTGATAAAGACAATGTGTGCCACATATTCCTACAGTTCAATTCAGCATTAGCAACATAATACGATATATCTATTTGAACATTCTATTTAATGTTACAGACAGAATACATTTCTCATGGTTATATAGTGCATTAACAAAAGAATATTATCTATCTTTGATCATAGTATTTCTTATCGCTTGAAATCACACGCTCAGTGATTGGTCAAAGAATATATATATAGTTTGTTGTTGTGTGAGTAACTTGATATGATTATGAGCAATAATTTGTGCTCGAAATGTCATCAGTCAATATTACTGTGTAACACTGTGTGATTTATCAAAATAAAATCTTATCCATAATGGAGATGCAATTGAAAATATACCTTGACTTCCGTGTCTTGCCTCCTGTTGTTACAGTTTTCTTTTAATTTACACACGAATGACGGCTTTTGTGTTACATAATTGCTATCTAACACGTTTATAATTCCAATGACACATCTATGGAATTCATTATTATATTATTGTTTCCTTTAGTTCCTAGAGGAACCTTGGGCGTCAGCCGCACGTCTCCATTGCGTTCGGTTCTCTGCTAACGTTTTCACCTTACTCCACGTCTGTCTAAATGCTTTCATCTGCTCTTCACATGACCTCCTCCATGTCACTCTTGGACGACCGACTAGCCGCTTCCCATTCGGGTTCCACTCGAGGGCCTATCTTGTGATGTCACTTGATGGTTTGTTTCCACCTCCATTTCTTCCTGCATATTTGTTGCACAATTGGTTCCTGCTGAGTTGGTTCGCTCATTGCCAGAGATCCCTGTTGCTGATCTTTTCTGGCCAGCCATCAGATCAAGAATAGTGCTGAGCGAATTCAGGTGTTGTTGAAGGTCTGTAGTTTGCTTGAGGGGCTCTTCATGACGCGCCAATTCTCTGATCCGTATAGTAGCACTGACTTCACATTTGGAGTTGAAAATCCGCATCTTGTTTTTAATGCTGAGTGCTGTCGACCTCCACACAGACTTTAGAGAAATGAAAGCTTGTCTTGCTTTCCCAATCCTCTCTGCTTTCATATCCTCATCAGTTCCGTCCGCCTGCAGTTGAAAAGATGCTTCCCAGGTAGGTAAAGGAAAACAGTCGTTTTATTGTCAAGATAATTTACAATTGAGAATGAAAAGAGTAACCCTTCAGTGGACTCGTTTTCTCCCATATAACTTGCATTGTTCTGTTGCCATGACTCTTTTAACATATTGTGTACTGTAGTTGAAAACCAAGTCAGTATTGGATTATGTCTCTCTTCTGATATTTCCTGATTGTTATATATGTCAAATGTTTTATGAAACAGTACTGCATCTAACATGCTTTATGTGAAAATTAAGACCCTGTGGCATAACTCAGATTCTACACTTTCAAGTTTTCAATGCTCACTATTTTCAAATTCATCTGTATACACTACGAATTCGTTCGTAGAGTCACTTGTGTGCCTACAAGTCAACTCGTAGATGTTATCATTGAGAGACAGTTGAGTTCATTGAAGAAATTGGTTCGGTATGTTTTATAAGACCTTATACCACCTAAAATGGGAAAGGAAACATCATATAGCACATTATGACCTTACGGCTTAATCAGCGATCTTGAATACGCCTTTTAATCACTGCACATTTCGAATGAAAAACAAAAAGTATGAAGGTATAGACTTACTAGTTCACTTTGCCACAGTGGATAAACGGTACTTATGACAAAATATGAATCGTCTTATGTGTATTCGCTGAACACCCGCCGAATAATCTGACGACACACTTTCTTGTTGGTTGATTGTATCATTATCACTCCTTTAGGTTCTGAGTGGAACATATGGCTTCAAAAACACATCTCCTCCTTGTTCTACTTGGCGATGTCTGCTTCAGCTGTCTGTCTCCAACATTACCCATATTATCTCATCTCCTCCTCCCACGCACTTGATCTCCTCCATGTTAACCTCGCACCGACGCCTCACTCGTTACTTCCTAATGGAATTCAACTCGGGCGATAGCGTGTCTAATGCGTAATTTAATTTAATGGCATTCTCAATATCTGTCCAATCCATTCATCTCTATTTTCTGCCACATATTTATTGAGAAATCAGCTCTGACCTGTTGGTTTGTTCCGATGCATAGTTTCTTGTCGCTAATTCTTTCTGGCCAGCCCATCAGCCGGCTATTTGATCTTCAGTGTCAATCCAGCAAGCTAAGGTGGTAGCTGTTGATAACAGTCTGCAGTGACGTGTTGGAAATCCTTTTCCTGACACGCTGGAGACGTTGCTGACCTGTATAGAAGAAGTGACTGACTGACTTCACATTAGTGTTGAACAGAATCTGAATGTTGTTCTTTACGCTGTCTGAGTGAGAGCAGAAGATTGCCAAACTGGTTTCAGTTTGATGAAGGCGTATATTGCATTTCCGATTCTGTCTGGCTGGTGTTGACATCTTCATCCGTACCGAGGGACTGTACTTGAAACAACGCTGGCTGCTTAGATAATTGAAGGAAGTCACCTCTGTCAAATCTCTCCCGTTGATGTTGATTGGCGCTGGTTGTCAGCGTTTTTTTGTTGTTGGTCGGTTGGTTACCTTCATCCCCTCTGTCTTCTCTATGTTCACCTGGAGTGGAGTCCTGTCTTCACCGGCTGCTTCTTCAGCCAGTTTGTTGGTTCTCGCCTGTAGGTTTTCGAGTTTCTGTGTGTGAGATTGAATATGAGCCATCCGCACGTGGAATCCAGATTTCCTAAGGTCTTCTTACCTCAGTTATCATAGTCTGACGCATAATACAGTTCACTGCAGTTAGGATATCATTGATGATAATAGGAAATCAGCTTTTCGTACTCCTGAATCCAATAGAAACACCTCGCTGAGTTTCTATTTGTCTATCAACTAACGCTTGCCACCGTTATATAGCCAGCTCTTGAATGAGCTTGAGGTTGATAGAGACTTGGGAACTGCACACCGTAGTGTTGAAGCATGTTTCAAATTATTTCTTGCTCGACGCTGTCTGTCGAAAGTCAATGGATGAGATTGAGGTATAGAGTTGACTGCCATTCTATGCTTTATTCTGTGAGGACGATGTGTAGAGTTGCAATTTGATTGGCATAAGATTTGCCTTTCCTGTGTCCAGCTTGTTCCGGGATGCTGATGTTCTGCATTCAGTGAATTTTTCATCCTCTCAAGCATGACGCGACTCAGTATTGTACTTGGTGTGGACAAGAGCAGAGAGATGCCTAAGTCAGCCTTCTTTGACAGCTTGACAAGGTAGCCTTTCTTCCAATCGGTAGGCGCCTTTCCTTCCTTCCAAATCTTTTTCAGTCATGTCGTGAGTGTATCTGCCGCAGACTCTAGCTCCGTTTCCAGTGCTTAGGGGTATTCCATATGGCTCCACTGCCTTCTCGATCAGTGTTCAGTACCTTTGTCGCATTTAGGATTTCTGCTTTCGTCGGAGAATTGTTGTCTACTGACGTTTCTGTGTATGCTGCTGGTGATATATGTGGGCTGTCATGTTGAATTCTGACTGCTTTATCTTCTTAGAAACCTCTCTGGATAATTATTATCAACCAAATCTTCTGTCATTATTCTTTCAACGCCTTTAGGTGTGTTTTCTCTGAATATTCATTGGTTACTACTCACCAGGCAGCTCACCACTTCATTCATTTTGTAACCCCGTATTATGAATTTTCAAAAATATTTCTTTTGTCGAAATTGTTAAAACAATGTTTTTCGGTAATTATCGTTCCAGTTATGAGGTTGTTTCAATTCAATAACTTTAGAGTAATGCATACATCAAAGGTCGAATAAAAAGTAACTAATTTTACCTTCAAATGAAATAGGATCACATTCATAGATTCTCTTCCAGTCATCACCAGGTTCCACTGTACTCAAATCCCAACATGAACTCAATATAGCTCTATATCCTGCTTTTGTGACTTCATCCAAAACTTCCTCCCAACCGGGTTTATACAAGTGAACAATGACAGGAACGTCTTCCTGAAAATGAGAAGCGGAAGATATGAAGTTGGCAAATTATGCAAAAACCCATTATTCTTGTTTCAATGAAAATAATTTTTCAGACATTCATAAAGATAAAATGAGATTTGGAAAGCAGTTACTCTTGTTAGATCGCTGTATGGTGAAGGCCACAGCTGAGCAAAGACTTCTGCACACTGGACTGTTAGTATGAATGTGGTTTTGATCCACTTGTGTTTTATCAAAGTTTAATTATGTCAGCGAATTCCTTATACCGACCAAACTAGTGACTTATGGAGCTTGGAAGGATCATTCCCAATCGAGATGTCTATTTCAGGTTCACAGAACAGTTAGTAGCCAATATGAATTCATATTCACTCTGGAGTAATCAGTGAGTTAACTGACTCGACAGATAAGTATCACGTCAAAGGAAACTGCAAAGACGAATCGGCTAACTGCAGCAACACTGCATGCTCTACCCCACCATTCTGTCAACCTGAATGTTTAAAAATGGCTATATATCTAACTGACTGGTGAATACATTCGCTTTAGGGACTAACCATTCGTCGTCCACTGAATTAGTATTAATTAAGATCAACCTTTCTTAAAACAATTAGTTCCCTTTATGAATTTAGATAAAGCAATAAGAAGACGTAATTTGTCTGAATCGTGTAATGTATTTGCGCAACACATTTCGAACAATCTGATCACACACGGACTTGTCATAGGAATATATATGAAATTAATAAAGAGTTAAGAGGTGAGAAAATAGACTTAGGTCAAGTTTAAAGGACATATTCAAGGTCAAAGTAACAATGAAGACCACTAAACCAAATAACAGACGTAATAGTACATCTGCTATGGTGTCAAAACAAAATTTACCAAGGAAGGTTTAATGTGATGACAAATTGTTTTTGAACGCATAAAGGTGGCTTAAACTTTCTAATTGCCAGCTAGGGCTTCCACAAACTTTAGGATACGCCCTCCCACAAACACGTTTTATAGATAGGTTTAAAAGATCTGTTAACGTCAATTTTATGTCCTGTCTCTATAATATGTTTTGCAATAGAGGAGCTAGGTCTCCTGTTCTCACCATTAATGGGTTCTGAAGATTCCATTTGTTTCTGGAGCCATTTAGGAATATGCTCTGAAGCCAGCCCTTACTTGCAGAGATCGATGAGTCCTCCCTATGTATGTGTGTCCACACGTACATTCAAATTGGTAAATACAGTGGGATGTGACGTCATTTTTCTCATGTTCGAAGGGCTTAGATAGATATATTGGCCTAACATTCTCTATTATTATGATATTGGCTGCATAAAAAGTCTTTTTGACAGCAGCGTTCAGTCTTTGTCTAGTTATCAAGCTGCTTTGATGCCCCATATAGGGTAGCTTGATGTATACGTCTTTCTTAGGGGCGAGTTGTAGAGTGGGTCTTGGTGTTCTGACTACTTTATATCTCCTGATGAACTTGTCTGGATAATTGTTATCAACCAGAGTTTGTGTCAATTTTCCTTCTTCCGCATCAAGTGTGTCTTCAGTGCATATTCGTTGGATTTTACTGAAGAGGCACCTTACTAACGCTCTTTTGTACCGAACAGGGCAAAAACTGTGGTAATTAAGATACTGTCCTGTCCAGGTAGGTTTTCTATAAATAGATCTTTTTATCGACCCATCAAGCCGTCGACTAAGCAGTATATCTAGGAAAGATAAACAGTTATCTTCCTCTTCTACAGATGTAAGTGATATGCTATTTTGGACTTCATTCATTCGATTTAAAATTGAGGTAGCAGAACAAGACTTATCACTGATGATTACAATATCGTCTACATACCTTCTATAAAGTGGCACATTTTCGATTAAATCCTCCGATAAATTCTCAATGTGCGACATATAAATATCTGCTAAAAGGGGCCCTAACGGACTTCCCATAGCAACACCATCAACTTGGCGGAAACAATCGCCTTCAAATGTAAACCTAACATTGTTAGTACATAGAAGTAATAAATCCCTTAAATAAGATATAGGGAACGGGATGAAAAAATTGTTTGTGGAAATATAGTCACACAAAATGTCAACTGTTTTGAGCAAAGGCACATTAGTGAATAACGAGTTTACATCAAAAGAGTACATATTCTTATTCATAATATTAATATTACTATTATCAACCTTTCTTTTGCATGATATAAGCAATTCATGAATATACAGATTTTAACAGATTGGATTACACTATTTTTCATCTTTGAGAAGTGTTGGTGAATATGTGATCGTAGAAGCGAATGGAAGAAGTTCTTGAAATCCAAGTCATAATGGCAGTACTCGTTTAGAAATCTAGTAAGGAAAGTGCAGAATATTCTCGAGTTATGAAATGACAGAGAAGATTTGTAGCTCAGGTGGATGATTTGCAATTAATAGTGTTCTCTGAGTTGGTTGGTTTAGTTGTGGAGCTTTCGTCGTTCCTTCTGGACAACATCTTCAGCGCAATATTTAGCCTAAAGTGAAATGATTTAAATTTACCTCGATTCTGTGGTAGACCAAAACTACACAAACCAAACATTCCCTTACGACCAATCGTTTTGCTTCCAGGAACACCAACATATAATCTATCTAAAGAACTTTTCAGGAAATTAAATTACCTAACAGAATCATTCGACCATTCTATCAATTCGTCAATCCAATTTTTAGAGAAAATCAAAAACATTCAAGTAGAAGACAATGAAATAATGGTGTCCTTTGATGTCATAGCATTATATACTTCAATTAGTCCAAAACTAGCAACAGAAACTATGCAACAATTACTCTATAGTGATGAAAACAAAAAAACGCAATTATCAACTTGGATAGAACTCATAAAATTATGCCTTACAACATACTTCCAGTTCAATACTCGAATAGATGAACAAATAAAAGGAACACCAATGGGATCGCCCATATCAGGATTAGCAGCTGTAGCTGTTATGCAAAGACTAGAATTGATAGCTCTATCTATAATTAAACCGAAAAACTGGGTACGTTACGTTGATGATACATTTGCGATAATTAAGAGAAATGATTTAGAATATACTCATAAATTAATAAACAACATATTTGAAGACATCAAATTCACAAGAGAAGAAGAATTAGATAACAAAATCCCATTTTTAGATGTCTTAATCAGGAGAACCAACACAGGAGATTTAGAAACACAAGTAAATAGAAAATCAACGCACACAGATCAAATACTCAACTATACTAGCAATAATCCAGTTACTCACAAACGAAACTGTGTGCAGACATTGTTTAAAAGAGTTCAAACACATTGTAGCACTCCAGAGTTGAAAAGAATGGAAGAAAAGTACCTACAAACGGTTTTCAAAAAGAATGGTTATCCACAAAATTTCATCAAAAAGTGTTTAAAGTCGAATCAAAACACCAACAAAGAACCATCATCAAAGACCACAAGAAAATTCATTCTACCATACATGGGAAATATCTCTGAAATAACAGCCAGAATACTGAAACCGTTTGATATAGATATAGCACACAAGCCAGTAAAATCGCTTAATTCGATATTATGCAAACCAAAAGTTCCAACGGAAAAAGGAGATAAAATTAATACCATTTACAAAATAACAACAAGCATTACATCGGCCAAAGTGGGCGTCCCTTTCGAGTCAGAATCCAAGAACACAAATCAGCCGTGAAAAGACACGATATGTATTCTTTAGTATCAATGCATATAGACAATTATGGTCATCCTTTTGATTGGGATAATGTCAAAATTTCAGACAGAGGAAGCACCAAAAGTGCCAGGGAATTCCTAGAAGCCTGGTACTCAAACGAAAATGCAATTAACAAACACGTTAATATAGACGAAATATACCAACTAATAAAAAGTAAATCAGGTGACCAGAAAGTTTAAAATCCAAGTCAATAGAAAGTGGTCAATACATATGTAAAGATGGTTACCGGAGACGCAATTACAAGGCTAAATATTGCGCTGAAGATGTTCTCCAGCAGGGGGACGACGAAAGCTCCGCAACTAAACCAACCAGCTCAGAGAACACTGTTAATTGCAATTCTCGAGTTATTCAAACATAACGATGTTTATTTTGAATATGCCTCCCCTAATTCAAGCATGTTTGATGAATATAGCCACAGGGTCAGAGTTATGTGCTCAGAAGTGGTAATTGAAGATGAACTAAGGATTTTATAAGATATCTTGATTGAAAAAAGCTATCCAGACAAATTCATCAGGAAATATATGACTAAGAAAGCTGAAAAGGACTGTTCAAGGACTGTCCGTAAACAAGAAGCTTTTATACATATGACTGCAATTCAAAGGCGATACACCTAGCGAAATAATTTCGAAGAAGTTAAGAAAATCATTTCAAAGAACTTTTAATGTTCGCACACTACAAGTATTTTTTTTCTACACAACCAATAGCAATTTCTCAATCGAAAGATGAATTACCTAGACTAGACTAACCACTTTTAATTGTGTCTACCAATTCAACTGCACTTGTGATGGGACGAGTTATATTGGTCATTGCACTAGGAACTTGATTTTTCGTGCTTGCTCGAGAACATCTGCCACTGTGTTTAAATAAAGGCATAGTGGGAAGCATCAATAGTTCGATATTAGATTACCTGTTCCAAACTGGCCACAAAGTGAGCTAGCATTGAGTAAACCTTCGCCATCATCTATCGAGTACCAGATAAAGTGTCAATAGCATCCAGGTTCCGCATTCCTCCAAACAGAAGAGGCTATTGCGATCCGCCTAAAACAACCGGTACTCTGTGTGTTGAATAAACAGATCCAACCACTATAACTGTCCTAGTCTTCTGTCGATTGACGTGTAGTCATACAGATCGATATCGAGTTTATTGACCGATTCTCTAGAATATACCTCAAATAACCTAACGGTTATCGTGATTAAACTATCTGAAATCAACTGCTTATTATTATTATTGTATCCTTTAATTCCTAGAGGAACATAGGGCTTCAGCCGTGCGTCTCCATTGCGTTCGGTCCTTTGCTAGAGTCTTCACCTGGCTCTATGTCTGCCCACACGTTTTCATCTCCTCTTCACATGACCTCCTCCAAGTCACCCTTGCACTGACGACCAACTCGCCGCTTCCCGTTCGGTTCCATCGGCAACTGTCTAGTGATGTCACTTGATGGTTTCCTCAGAGTATGGCCAATCCATCTCCATTTCTTCCTGCATATTTGTTTCATAATCGGTTCCTGCTGTGTTAGTTCGCTCCCAGAGATCCCTGTTGCTGATCTTTTTTGGCCATCTGATCTTGAGTATTGAGCGAAGACAGCTGTTAATGAGGGTCTGTAGTTTGTTTGAGATGCTTAAAAACATCTTAACTCAAAGAAAAGTGTTTAGAAAAAATCACAACTTACACGAAATCCATTCTCGAATACATCTTGCCAAACAATCGGTGATGCTGTCCATTCTGATGAATTTGCGCCTAGAATAGTCGTCATAAGTCGCTGAAAATAATAACTCTCCAATTTTGTGTAGTCATCCCCGTATCCTGTTTTATTCATAAACTGTTGAATGAAAATATTAGACTGCCTAAAAAATTGAAACAGAGTCGAAAATGCATAAGAAAATTATCTCTAACAATTTGGATATCAACACAAAGATAGCCATCATTCACTGGAGGTTGACACATTTCACATTCAGTAGTCAGGGAAGACGGTTACATTTTAGGATACACTGTTATATAAGTAAAGGAAATATCGCCATATTGAAATCAAAACAAGATTTTGAGCGAACAATTGTTTTCGATAACTTCTTCTTCAGGCTCTACAGTTATAAATCCATGAATAATAGGGTACATATAGCCAATAAAGGCAAATGAAAATAATATCAGAAACTGTATTGGGGTGCATGTGTAAGTTGAGGTGATAGTCCATTAGTTAACATAGTCAATCAAATGTGTATAGGGTGTATAGTCAAAA